CCTTCGTCCAATCATTTCCAATAAAATCATTTAATGTTCAAAAAGTTCGCCACAAATGACGTCTCGTCTGCCCTTCGCTCGCGTCGGACGTCATTCTTGCGTTCAAAACAAACGATGAATTGTTTCACGCGATCCGCACTCAGAGCTGTCGTCGTCCGCCGCACGCGCGTCGTCTGCCTGTCGTCCGCGCGTTCAGTGATCGGGACGTCACACGCGTCGCAGAGAGACGACGAGGTCTTCACTTCGCGGCTGACGGCCGCCGACGCGGGAGTTGTGGTGAGTTGTCGTGTCGTCGTCCTGTCGTCCCCTCCGTCGCCTCACTCTCGCCTCCCTTCAGGTGCTGTCTCTCAACCGGCCGAATGGCGCCAACTCTTTGTCGCGCGCGATGGCCTCCAAACTCAACGAATCGTTGTATCAGTTGTCGAAAGACGAAGAACTGCGCGTTCTTATCATCCGCTCGACAGTTCCCGGCATCTTCTGCGCCGGCGCCGACCTCAAGGAGAGGGCAACGATGCCCGAAAAGGACATCCCGCCCTTTGTGGCCAAACTGCGCGCCATCGGGAACGCCATCCACGACTTCCCGTTCCCCACAATCGCGGCGATCGACGGCGCGGCCATTGGCGGCGGACTCGAGTACGCGTTGGCCGCCGACCTGCGCGTCGCCGCTTCGAACGCCAAACTCGGTTTAGTGGAGACGAAACTGGCGGTCATTCCGGGCGCCGGCGGAACGCAACGCCTCTCGCGTCTCATTCCCATTCATTTGGCGAAAGAACTCATTTACACGGGACGTCTCATTGACGGCCACTCGGCCTTTCAGATGGGAATCGTTAACTATTCCGTCGAACAGAACGCCGCCGGAGACGCCGCCTATCGTCGCGCGGTCCGTCTCGCCGAAGAGATGATCGCCAACGGACCCGTGGCTCTGAAGGCGGCCAAAGTGGCCATAAATCGCGGCTCAGAAGTGGACATCATGACCGGACTCGCCATTGAGGCCGCGTGTCATACGATGACTGTCCACACGAAGGACCGCTTGGAGGGCTTGGCCTCGTTCAAGGAGAAGCGGGCGCCCAAGTACAAGGGGGAGTAGGCTATAGGCTAAGGGGGGCGTAAAGGGGGTTCCACTCGGGAGCCAATCAGAAATGCAATGCTTTTAAATAAACAAATACTGACGTCATGTGTACTGACAGTGAGTGTGTCTCTCATTCGGTCCCTTTCCTCACAACAACTCTGCGGCAATGCGTGCGAAAAGGGTCTGAAGGCGCGAGCGATGGACGCCTTTGACTCGTAGAGTGCTCGGAGATGTCGAAAGCGCCGAACGATCCGTTGGACACTTATAAGCTGGTCGTCGTCGGCGACGGAGGAGTGAGTTCTGAGTTATACTAACTATAGGAGTGTTGTCTTCAAACTCTCATCCAATGAAAGGTCGGGAAGTCTGCGCTCACCATTCAGTTCTTCCAGAAGCTCTTCGTCACGGATTACGACCCGACGATTGAGGACTCGTATATCCAGCACACGGAGATCGACCATCACTTGTGTGTTCTCGACGTGTTGGACACCGCGGGTCAGGAGGAGTTCTCGGCCATGAGGGAGCAGTACATGCGGAAGGGTGGGTGTTTGCACGTCCCCCTATGTCCACCTCTAACCCCCTCTAACCCCCCTTTAGGCGACGGATTTCTTCTCGTATATTCCGTGACCGACAAACAGTCCTTCGAAAACATCCGCCACTTCTTCACGCAAATCCTGCGCGTGAAAGACCGCGACTCGTATCCCATGCTGTTGGCGGCCAACAAAGTGGACCTGGTGCACCTCCGCAAAGTGTCCGAAGAGCAGGGGCGCGAGATGGCCGCCCAGCTTAAGGTGAGCGTTCGGCCGAGTGGGCGTTCCCGCGCTAACCCGTTTGGCTCCTCCCCTCAGGTGCCGTACATCGAGACCAGTGCCAAAGACCCGCCCCTCAACGTGGACGCCGCCTTCCACGAAGTCGTGCGCATCATACGGTCAGTGCGTGTGTTGCGGTCATTGCCCACCACTAACCCCCCCTCCCCACCCCTGCCCTCCCTAGGAATCAGCCGCAAAACGGCGACAAAAGGCGCCGGAAATGGTGGCGAAGAGACCGGAAGCGAAAGACGTGTCAAATCGCGTGACTTTTCTATTTATTATTCGTCTCATTAAAGCTCGTCTCGCGCGCCGACAATCGTCTCGTCGACGAATCGCGTCAACGACTCGAGTGTTGGCTTCGCGTGAGATTCAAATTTAAGTGCTTTTTGCTTGTGATTCGCGCGCAACAAATAAAAGGCCGGAAAAGCGTTCACTTCAGCGAAGATGTCGTCTCGGAAGTCGTTTTGCGTCCCTTCGATGGCCGCCACCAACACGTCCGCGCGGCCCGAGTAGTGTTCGGCCACCTGTCGGAAGACGGGCGCCACGGCCTGGCAGTGGGCGCACCAGTGGGCGTAGAACATGAGGAGCACGTGTTTGGGCGACTCGACCACCAATTGGTCGAAATTGAGGCCAACGACTGACGTGACGCCCGTTTTGTCACCGCTATTGCGAACGGATTGCGAGCGCAGTGTTGGCCGCGCTCTGCCCTCCAATACGGCAGACACGAAGCGCGCGAAGACGGCCGAAGAGAAGCCGTCTTCCGGCGGAAGAGCGAAACGGCGATTGCGCGACAGAAAGAGCGCGCAGTTCACGTCCTCCGAAGAGTCTTCCAAATGCAGATCCCGGAGCTCCTGCGCGTAGTCCTCCTCTCGCGCCACACAGAACGTCACGTTCGGGAACTGCTGCGCGACGGCCACCACTTGCGCGCGCGTTAGTTGCGTTTCTGCGGAAAGCGAGCTCTGATTGGCTGTTCGGTCGGCAGTGAGGACTCACGTGATCGGTGTTCGGGAGAGAAGTCGACGTCATAGTAGACGACAGCCAATGGGAAGCGCCGTTCGAACAGCCATTCAGTGGACGGCGTCCGCAGACCCACGAGAGGGCGCGAGTGTTGCCAAACAAAGCGCGAGATGTCGTCGGCGGTCACGGAAGCGGTCTTTGGGGCGAAAGAGAGTCAGAAAACGGGAAAATCGGCGAAAAATGCTCACAAAAGGCATTCTATGGGTTTTGCTTTCAAACCATTGGCCGGAAAACACGACAATAGAGTCCGCGCTCTCGCCGGCCGCTGACGTCACGTCCGCATCGGTCACGTGAAGGAACTTATAGTTGCGTTCTTTCCCCGCGAACGCCGCCTCTTCCCACACGTCCAGAAAGGGGGAGGAGTCGCTGAGAAAGGCGACAACAGTCGGCCNGAACAGCCATTCAGTGGACGGCGTCCGCAGACCCACGAGAGGGCGCGAGTGTTGCCAAACAAAGCGCGAGATGTCGTCGGCGGTCACGGAAGCGGTCTTTGGGGCGAAAGAGAGTCAGAAAACGGGAAAATCGGCGAAAAATGCTCACAAAAGGCATTCTATGGGTTTTGCTTTCAAACCATTGGCCGGAAAACACGACAATAGAGTCCGCGCTCTCGCCGGCCGCTGACGTCACGTCCGCATCGGTCACGTGAAGGAACTTATAGTTGCGTTCTTTCCCCGCGAACGCCGCCTCTTCCCACACGTCCAGAAAGGGGGAGGAGTCGCTGAGAAAGGCGACAACAGTCGGCCAATCGGGAGTCAGCGCTTTGCGGAGTTCAGCCAATGAGGAGACGACTTTGGAGGGTGTGTTCTGTTGGGCGCGCATAAAGCGCACGATTGCGGTCTCGTCGCGACCGCCCCTATAGGTCACGTGTTTGCCCTTTCGGAACACGAAAAGCGTCGGAAAGGCGGAGACGGAGAAGCGCTCCGCCAACGCCCGTTCGAGCGAAACGTCCACTTTTGTCAACGGGATCGGAGGCCACACTTCGGCCAACTGTTGGGCCGCGCGTTCGTATTCGGGCGCCAATCGCTGGCAATGACCACAAGAGGGCGTAACGAAGGCCACCAAAAAGAGCGGGTGTTTCGCGACGAAAGCGTCGAACGCGTCGGAAGTGAGCGAAAGGACGGCTTCCGGTGGCGGCTGGAAGTCGGGGTCGGCTTTGCGGCGCATGAACTCCACGATTGCGGCCGACGTTCGCGAGCCGTCGTATTCGGAGTGAACGCCGTTCGCGAACACAAAGAGCGTCGGGACTATCGGGCGAAACGAGGGTTAGAGGGAGAGCGCAGGGAAGGGGAGCACAGACACGAGCGAACGCCGTATTCGCGGGCAATGGCCTCCTCTTTCGTGGCGTCCACTTTGGCCAAAGGAATGCCGTCTTTCCGCAACTCTTTGGCCGCCTTTTCGAACTCCGGCGCCAATGCCTGGCAGTGGACGCACCAGTGGGCGAAGAACTGGACCAAAATGAGCGGTTTGGAGAGCACTATGCGGTGGAAGTTGTCTTCGTTGAGAACCACGACCTCCTCCTCCACTCTGAGCGTCACATTCTCGCCGACGCCGTTCACGACAGGGACTGAAGGGAACAAAAGCGATGAAAGAAACCGTGTTTTCAGTGTTTGCGGACTCACTGTCGCCGAACTCGCGCTCCGAATGGTGGCCGCCGACGACGAGCAGCAGAAGCAGCACTTGACACGAAGCCATTCCTCGGGAAGTGGTGTTGCGGTCACTCTTCGGGCAGTGTTTGTGTCGTCGACACAAAGTCTTGGCTCTTATGGCGCCCTCTCGTGTATGCAATGCATTAGTGGTGAGCAGTGAAGGCGAGCTCTGAGGCGCACAACACGAGCCCTAAAATGGCAGTCAATTGCTGTCAAACTCTTTGAGTGTTTGTTGTCTTCGGCGAACACTTGTCTCAAGCGATGGCTCTTCGGCTGTGACGCCAACTGTGTCTGAATGTCGCGAACCTTTTCCGGCCTTTCGGGCACTTATAACGTGAGGGCCAATGAGTTGGCGCTCCAGAGGAACACCAAATCGCTCCGATGTCTCGTCTACTTCTTGGACGACACCCAACACGTCTTTGAAGTTGATGTGAGTGTCAATCCGTGTCCTCCGCGTCGTGTGTCACTCTCTTTGTCCGCAGAGACGCGCGAAAGGCGAGCATCTCTTGGATCTGGTGTTCCGACACTTGGAGCTCATTGAACGCGACTATTTCGGCCTCCAGTTCACCGAAACCATCGCCCACTCCGGACAAACCAATCAGGTCAGTCGAGCTGCCCCTCAGGCCACCCCCACTCACCCCCGACTCCGTCCCCAGCGATGGCTCGACCCCAATAAGCGGCTGAGGAAGCAGCTGAAGACATCGCGCGCGCCGCACCTCCTCTTCTTCAAAGTCAAGTTCTACGTCACGGAACCGGCGCGTCTTCTCGAGGAGTACACGCGTTATCACTTCTTCCTGCAGATCCGCAAAGACATTCTCAGCGCAAGACTCATCGCCCCGACGCCCGCCCTCGCGCTCCTCGCCTCCTACGTCGTGCAATGTGAGTGCACCCGACCCCACCCCCACGACCCCCACTAAATACTAAACTCTGCCCCACAGCCGAATTGGGCGACTTCTGCGCCGACGACCACAAGACTGGATACATCTCTGGCCTCAAACTCGTTGCGAACCAAACGCCGGAATTCGAGAAAACGGTCGCAGATATGCATCGTTTACATAGAGGCGAAACGC